CACACACACACACACACACACACACACACACACACACACACACACACTCTCTCTCTCTCTCTCTCTCTCTCTCTCTGCCAGAGAATAGCTATAAAAGACAGCTATCTTTAGAGCTCACTAAAGTTTCTAACAAAGGGCCCTAATACTTCATTCACTGCACAGGCAAGACTCCTTGATATCCAAAAATTCCATTGATATAAACAAAATGCAGGATCAGACTAAAGATCTTTTATGATTATTTAAACTAGGACTGTGAGAGGTAGTGTGGGAGCTAGATAAAAGAAAGCACAAAGTTTCTTTTAATTAAATTAAGCTAGATCAAGTATTGTTTTCCTTTTGGTATTTAGGATCTTTGCATCTTAGGTACAGTAATAGGTTTCAAATAGATGGAAGCACAATATTTTCTGGGAGGCATATATTGGCCTTTGCATCTGTCAAGTTATTTGCAATAGCAAATACCCATTAAATACTTCATACTTCTACAGCACATTCTAACTGGACTAATTAATTCAGCTTCAACACTGCTTTGTGGTTGGGAAATACAATAAGGCTCTCCCCACCCCCAAACTCCTTCCTCAAATATACATGGCAAAACTAAAGGAGAGAAGTTAAGTAACATGAACCCAGGGTCACACGAAGTCAGTGGCAGAGCTGGGACCAGAACTTGCATCCCTACCCTTCCAAGCCTGCATTTTAAATCACTTCCTCTGATGGTTTCTTTGCAGAGGAAGGATCTAACATCAGATATAAACACAGGAACTGCTTTCTTTAAAATTCAGCTGTTTTAAAGCCAGAGAATTGTTCTTTCGGGGCCTGATCCTGCAAGACCTCACATGGGCGACTCCACTGAATACAAGAGAGATTACTCAGGTGAGTAAGGACCAGCAGGATTGAGTTTCATTTATTTCCGCCCCCCCGCCCCAAGATTGTAGTTCTCCATAATCCAAATGGAGTGTTGCCCATCAGTTTGGACACATGTAAGGAACTGAAGGTTGTATGTCACTAGACGCCTCATGTAAAGTACAGAGCACACACTAATGGGCCAAATTTATCCCTGGTATAAGCCAGTTTCCAATAGCACACGACATGCTAAGCATTTTCAAATATAAAATGAATAGTACCTGCCCCCAAAGAGTGAAATCTGAATCTGCACTGAGTTACTGCCAGGTGCACTTAGTGTAAATGCTGATTTTGCTCTATAGGGGTGGGATTTTCAAGAGTGCCCAGGATTGACCTTACTGTGCTCTCTCTGAAGTCAGCAGTAAAACTCCTACTGACTTTGGGAAAAGCTACTTAGGCCAACACTGGGCACTTTTGAAAATCCTACCCCAAAGCTGGTGTGGACCTTAGCTGCTTTCTAAAACAGCTGTTTCCCTATAAACCATCACAACTATTGTGCTAGCTGAGAAGCTTCTGATTAAAAAAATCCCTAGATTTGACTACTTAGGAGCTGGAGGCCATATAATTACAATTTGCTTCCCTCCATTGGTCTGGTGAAGGTCATGTTTGCTGGCATTCAAGGAAGGATACAAGTCCCAAATGTTTACTGTGGACTTTTTTGGACTTTTTCTCTAGAACATCCCTTTAGTGTATTTCATTTTAGTTCAGATCAGTCAATATGCTTCAATGTATGGGTGCAATCATTTGCTTTACATCACTTTACTGGGTCAAAGAAACCATAAACCCACATTAAAGGCTCCTGGATGGCTTCTCCCTGCACTTACGTATAGAAGAAAGTGTCCTAAACTTGCAATCCCTTCATTTTATAAACATCCTGAAGAACAAATGCTAATAACTTCCTTGCGCAGTCAAATAGCAACTGCAGGTTTCGGCGCTCCCTGATGGGAGTCAAGGCGACAGTGAAAGGCAAAAAGCAGTATGTCAGCTCTGTGGGCTGCTTATTTGTTCACTATCAACCAGAATGTGCAGGGAACTGGAGAGGGAGGACAAAGTTAGAGCAGGTCTACTGCAGCTGTGCTTCCAGAACATTGTATAAATTTTAGCACATGAAATCTATGGCAATGAAGATGAAAATATTTTAAATAGACAGTAGAGATAATTTCCGTATTAATTCCAATAATTACTTTAAATCAGACAATTCACTGCAGAGGTTCCCTACAGAGCAGCATTGAATTAACAATCTGTATATCATCATGCTTATCTCACATAAAACTCTTTTGAAGACCTGCTTTTGAAAGCTGCAAATTTTAACAGATTTTACTGCCCTTGTCATATGCAGAGAAAATGGTACCAAATGTCTCATGTTTTGTGACTCTGGGAACCTGGATCTGAGATGAGAATCAGAAGGATGCATTTGTAATCATCTTCAGTGATCTAGCCAAATCCATAGAGGTGGTTCTCTATTTGTGTTTTGGTGTCTTACCATGCTGTTAATTGACTGCCCAATCCAGAACAGGCTGGATTTTTGTTTTGTTTTGTTCGGTTCTTTAAACCGGATATAAAAAAAACCAAAATAATGGGGATTAGAATTCTATAAGGAACAGCCAAAGCTAAATTGAATCAGGATGCAAATGGGTATTCATCACAAAGAAACAAACCAAAACAAAAAACAATGGAATATTTATTTCAGTTTTCAGCATATATATTTATAGAGAACCTTGAAAGGCAATATATTTCTGCAACATTTTCAAGTAGGGGTGGCACCTAGAGTTAACATTTGGCCTTCTTGGCTCCTTGTTACAGTCATGCCTTCTCCAAGATATTCCTGTAGTTTGTCACCAGACTTCTGTCCATTTGGGAACACTGTTGTCATCCCTCAGTGTTTCTCCAAGGTTCCCCCCCGGAGAGAAAGTGCATGGCTTAGTATTTGGAGTGTGATGGGGGTAAGAGGGACCCAATCAGATGCAGGAGTTCTAGCAGCAACATTTGGTAGCATCTGGACAGTTTTAGTCAGGTGAAAATCATGTCATAGAATAGCTTATCAACTGCCCCTCATCTGATATGTAGTGAAAAAAGTGTACCGCACAAAAAGTAGGATATCCAATGTCGCCCCTCCTCCCATTGTGTCCAGTAATGTTCATTCTTGTTGTGATATCTCAAACCAGAGTTTTCAAAGCCAGTTAAATAAGATCAACAACAGTGTATCTATTACATATTTTTACAACTTGTTTTCTGATTAGACACTCATTTTACACATGGAACAAGTACAAACTCTGCCTCTAAGATTGAGGGTTGCTCACCTCTAACACTGTACCTAAGCTGTGAATCTTGGAGTAAAAAATTGGTCAGAGAGTTAGTTTTACATTACTAGATAAATAAGTTTGTGAGGTAATACTTTTTTCTTTTTAACTATTTGCTAGTAGAAATAAAAAAGTCTTCTATTCCTTATATACCAGTTCTATTTACTTATCTTTATTCATTAGACCGAAGTGAGATGGACTTAGAATACTTAAGTAGTTATACTGAGCAAAGAGATACTTGAATGCTCAACAGAGACTTAAATGTTCAGCTACTATAATCACACACCTAGAAACAGGCAGCTGCATACAATGGACCCGTCAAGTTATCAACTGCAGCTAACACTCTTTCTTATAAAGGCAGACTTTGTGGCTCTGGTTTCCTTGCTGAACCTCTCCCTGGAGGACTGCCCAGCTGGAGACAATACAAACCCCTTAGGGCCAATTACTTGGCTTGGTTCTTGTCCACATCACCTGAGAGCTGTCACTTCAACACACAGATAAAGAAACCATATGGAAAAACAGCAGCAGGGGGGAAGAGAATCATAACCAGATTGTTAAGATGACTGCTGTTGTCCTGTTTGCCAGAATATTATTTACATCATAACTAATTTAATAAGGAGATTAAGGGGAGGGGGCTGAACAAGGTCTCTTGTCCACAGAGGTAGTCCACTGAAATACTATCCTGTTTATTGTGAGAGGTCATATAATGTGTCTGAAATAGCTAGAAAAATTCAGGGCCAGTCCTCAGCTGGTGTGAAGTCACCATAGGTCCATTGACGTCAATTTACACTACCTGAGAATCAGGCCCTGATCATCATCATCCATTTTCGGTCACTATTTTGGAGATGGAATTGAAACTTTTATTTTCAATCAGAGGCTAAGACTGAAAAATGGTAAGAAGGGACACTGAAGTATATTCCCTACTCAAAACTCTACCCCTTCTAAGGAATCATTGGGCCAGACCCTCAGCTAATGTTAAGTCAGCAGATCTCCAAGTCTGACACAAAAGTTCTTGGCAGAAGTAAATCTGTGGAACAAATTTTAAACCAAGCTAATGTAGTATATGACAAATTTTCTCATAAAATTAACGAACAACTCTGTTCAATATATTTAGATTTACGTTAAAAAGTATAGCTCTCATCTGACTTTGCTATGGTTTTGTTTTTTTTTTTTTAAATCAACTGACAAAACTCAACAGGTAATCACTGCTTTTCATTATTTGTATTTGTTCAGAACCCTTAAGATTCCAGCGACAGTCCAGAGAAAAAAAGTAGACGCTAAGAACAGGTTCATTTACCACATTTCATTTAAAACAAAATAAATTTTAGATTCAGAGAATTCCAAACTGAGGCTTGGGGTCTCAGTCTTGTCAAAAGAGACCACCACAATAGTTTTGCTATTGTTGCTGCTGCTGAAAGTGTAGGTGGAATCTATAAGACATATTTTAAAAGGTTGGCATAATAGGAGCTCATTTGTGCTTTATAGCAGTTTGAAAAATCCAATGCTTTTTATAAAATAATGATTACAGACATGCAATTTGCAGATGCAAAAATGGAAGCCATTGCTCAAACATTTGATCTGATGTTCTTACTGGAAAAAAAACCTGGAGGTATGTGCCAGGTGACAGTTACAGCAAACTGCAATACTTTATCTTTGATTCACACCCCTTTTACTCATGTTTTACAAGTGTCTGTTACTCTACAATAGTCCGCTAAATATCAGAAGTGCTCTCCCTACACCTTTTGCCCTCATTAATAGGATGTACAGAGCACAGCTCAACTCTTACTACAGCTTCTCAAAACCACAGAATACCCATTTTAATGTTCACCTCATTCATTTGGTCAATGGATGTTTGTGTCTTCCCTTTTTCCTCTAAGAGCGTGTCACAATGTTCAGATAACATTGGGCACAACTAATGTAATATTGAATCATATTCAAGAAAGTTAATTATCTTAACAGGGAAGTTGGAGTATTCTTATATGCCTCACCCTCCACAGCTTTGCCTTAGGAGGGCTGGATCTTTTGGCTCAGGCCAGAGAGACTCATGCGGCTACATCAGGAGGTTCCCTGGGTTTGATCTGCATTGTTGATGGTGTCTCACTCAGGGGGATTGTGCAACATTCCTAACCCCAAAATCAACCCTTGTATTTCATGATTTCATATTTTAGTAGCAGTTGGTAGGGAGGGGAAGAACAACAATTATTCTTAAGTCACATAGGGAGATATTCCGGGAGTGGGTGGGAGGGTGGGGTGATCCTTTAAAAGAAAAACGAGTCTCTCATATTCACTGTTCCCTAGACAGTAAAGGGTTTTTTTTCAGGTGACATATCCACCTCTTCTGAGCATGCAAATCAACAAAGGGCCATCGAGCAAGTCTTCAGAACAGAGACAATTCATGCTCAGTTGGCTGTCAGTCAGCATTTTACGACAGCTGAACATTCCACATCTTATGGCTAGAGATAGGCACAAATTTGAACAATCCAAACAAGGGGAGTTCAAAAATTGTATCTGGATCTGCATTTGAATTTTGCAAATGGTGCCTGTCTTAAAATTTCAACAGTACAAAATTCCCATGGGTAACGAGAGCGTTCACTGAATCCTGCTCCTCTCCCCTTTTTCTGACCAGCTCCCATATTTTAGATATTCCCAATTTCAGTGCTGCCTAACACA